GAAGGAATTCTGGAAGAATCACTTCAATATAGCAGATGCTGTGTTTTTAATTGCGTCAGCCTGGAAAGAGGTTACTATGAGGTGTCTTTGTGCTGTTTGGAGGCCATTGTGGCCTGAATGTGTGCTTCAAAGAGACTTTGAAGGCTTCGAAGAGTTAGAAGAAGAGGCTGTTGTTCATGAAATTGTGTCTCTGGGCAATTCCATGGGCCTGGAAGTGGATGATGATGATGATGATGTTGAGGAGTTGGTGGAAGAGCACAGTAAGGAGCTGTCCACTGAGGAGCTGCTTGAGCTTCACAAAGAAGAAAATGAGACACAGAAGCAGAGCTTAACTTCTGAGGAGTCAGGGGAGGATGAGGACAAGGAGGAAAGCCACATCATTCCAGTCAAAGATCTCAAGGATGTGTTCTTTTGCTGGAGCAAACTGTCTAAGCTTGCTGAGGATTATCATCCTGATGTTGGTTCTGTGGAAAAGGCCATCCGTGTGTTTAATGACAATGTGATGAACTACTTTTGGAAGGTCCAGAAATCAAGGTTGAAGCAGCCAAACGTGGATTCCTTCTTTAAAAAAGTAGCAAAAGACCCTACAGACAAAGTGCCTGTAAGACAGTCACCAAAGAGGGCTAGGAAGGATGACTCCTCTCCTTCCACCTCTTCTCGATAATGCTCTCCTCCCCCCTCCCCCTCTGCCTCCTGTCCTGCATGCTGAACAACACTAAGGTAAGATAAAGTACCGTATTTTTTACATTTTCCACAGAAAATTTTCAGTGTTAAGTGGTTGTATTTGGGGGCCTGGGACGGATTAATCCTGTAACGAACGAATGCTATAACGAACGAGGTTCTAGAACCAATTAGAATCGTTATAGCATACCCCACTGTAATTCTACGAAATTTTGGTATGACTGAGGCAGGTCGTAAGTGCGGGTGGTCGTAAGTCGAGTAGGTCGTAAGTCGGGGAGGATCTGTATATACAGTACACTTAAAATACAGGTTTACCTCGCTACATGTCGGATATGCATTTCTAAAAAATGCAACATTAGGTCAAACACAATACGGGTACCCTGTACTGTACTGTATAGTGAATACAAATTTAACACAATTCAATGACATAATAAGGGGTTACGTTCCTGGAGGACATTTATGATAAAAATTTTCTACCTAAATATTAATTAAATAAGTAATATCTCAGTTAGCTCGAATCCCTCTTAACCAGAACTCTCTGAGAGCTGTAATTTAAATTTTCTGAAGGGCATATTTTTTTTTAAATTCTGAGGAAATTTTCCCAATACCTGGAAAATTCCACGGATGGGGGGAGTTATTTTCTGGGTTTGAGATATGAAAATCGGGTAATTTTCCGTAAATTTTGAGAATTTTTTTTCTGGTACTCTGCACCAATTGTCCCAGCTAACGGAGATATCTTCATTATATTCTTATAGTTAAAATAAACATTTACATATAAAATATATGTCAATAAAATACTATTTACCCAAGTTGGTTAAAGATGCTGCATACTGAGGCCAGCTGGGGTTAAGGAGTGGTGGGGTTATTAACCCCTGGGGTCCGGGCTATGGTTGGCACCCCCCCCCCTCCCACACGGGTATACAGTATTTGGGAACATTTAAAAAATACATAAAAAACAATTCTAGTCATACAAACTGGCCATGCATGATATAAACAGGAAATAAATAAATGGCCTTACCACAGGTCGGCAAAACTGAGGCTAGAAAGAGTAGAGAATGTTTGTGAAGATGCTTCGGCGTGATGCAGTAGTGACGAGATAAACAACACTAATTTGTAGGCAGTGTGAGATCCAGGACACTTGTTCTACACTATTAACAATCATTATTACTGCTCCAGCAATTAATCACAATACAGGTATACCCCAAAAACTGATGTTCCAATAACCAATGACTCGCATAGAAGAAATACCCAGCAATTTTCGTTGATACCCCAGAGATCTGATGATGATCAGGAGAGGAGTGGCAGAGCTATTTTAAATTTGGCAGACATTGGCATGGTGCGAATTCTTGTGACGAGAGGGCTCTGCGTGCTGCCTCTGACTCGTTCCCACCTCTCTGCATTTGTTTACACTTACCACGTATCTCCGACTTCGTGTTGTTTAATTATTTCCGACTTCGTGTGTTATGCAATCAAGCCTAAACGGCCCTCTTAGGGGCAGCTTGATGTGATGTGATAAGGCATAATAAGAGCAGTGATAGACCAGCAAAGATTGGTACTGTAGAGACTTGAAATTACCGCCCTAGACTGTCTCTACCATCTTCAACACAAGTAAATAACAGTCTCAAGTTATGATTTACATTCCCTATAATGCTTGCTTTATATGTCTGCTTTAACTTCTTGTTTGACAGCATGCCTGACAGAGATGCATCAAGGGTAGATGGGATTTTTTCGGGGGGTGGCCGATCCCTAACCCCCTGAATTTTTTTATATTTTTATGGGATTAATTGCTTTGATAACTGTTGATTCACTAACCAATGACTTTTCAGTCCCCGTATGAATTGGTTATCGGGGTATACCTTACTACACATCCACTCGCCATCTTTTCCTGTGTTGCTGGTGCCTTCGTGGGTCAGCTGAAGATTATTAATCAATATTCATGCAATCTCGTGCAGATTGAAGAACTGTTCAATATACGTAAGTAAAGCCTTCACTTTCACATGAGGCAAAATTATCACTTGCCTCACTGACTCATGATTTTTTAATCTGACTTGTGAAAGGATTCTTTACTTGCCACAGGTGAGTATGATTGGGCAACCCTAGTTGGCGATACACAAAATTTTCGTTTGTAATTCCCTTTAAAATGGCTGGCAAGCATAAAAGTGAGAGTTCTTGTGGTGCCGAGAAGAAAAAGAGACACTCAGAAATTTATGTAAATCTACCCAAAGAAACAGTTGAAAAATTTTTACATTATTAAAATGTAATATGTACTAGAATTTTTATCCCTTGTGCAAAATATATGAAGGTTTATATTCAAATTAATCACTGTCTTATAAGAATTCCAGCAATGTAAATTATATTTTCCCCAATCACTTCTATGACATTTCATAAGCCAAAAACAAAAACTCAATCTAAAGGACAGAAGTAAACAAATAAATACTTCACTAGACTTTTGGCACCAGCTGTCATTTATGTCACTGTCACTTACCCTTCCTCCCTCCCCCACCCTCCCCTCCAGGGTTTGGTGTTTTAGGCTTACAGTTTTTATCTTATATAATATCACAGACTAAAGTTAGGAGAATATAATTTGCATTGCTGGAATCCTTACAAGACAGTGAATAATTTGAATATAAACGTCATATATTTTGCACAAGAGATAAAAATTAATCACCTGTAGTGATTTAAGACTTCTAGTATATATATATATATATATATATATATATATATATATATATATATATATATATATATATATATATATATATATATATATATATATATATATATATATATATATATATATATATATATATATATATATATATATATATATATATATATATATATATATATATATATATATCTTCAGAGGCAACTGGATTACATGGACAGAGAGAGGCTTAAATATACAGGGTGACCTTATAAAACATGAGGTCAGGTCATAATGATGTCATCCACTAATCCCCACACCAACACACATGTAGGAAGGCTTGAGAGGGGTGACAGGCTAATCAAGTCAGAGGCAAAAAACCAGGACACTAATGGCCTCCATCCACAGGACTGCCCGTGTCCTGGGTGGGTCAGTGGTTCATTGGGTCGAATCTTGATGGTAGGCAGTGAGTTTGGTCTAGGTGTGTGTGTGTGTATCTCCTCATGGATGTGTGTGCCTCCATATCCTGCCCTGCCTCCTCCTCATAAATGTTAGTACGTTTGGGGATTTCGGGGATTTTTAGGAGTGTTTCTGACTTTATGCATATTTTGGCTGAACTTTGTATGTACTTTTTCTGTGAGTTGGAACCAATTGTGTTTGTTAATCGAGGGACCACTGTATTATTTTCGCATTTTCGACTTACGACATGGATTTGGGTTCCTAACCCTGTCGTAAGCCGAGGAGCAGCTGTATACTGTACATCTTTATGTAGAGGTCATTTGCATTAATTTAAATTTTAAAGCTTTGTTCTGTTAATGGATCCACTTCAGAAAATATTTTCATTGCTTGCTCCATATAATATCCACAGACCTCTCGCCTTTTTCATATCATTTTAACACATCTAGTTTCTCAGCTAAGCTTAAGACACTTTCCATTAGCTTTTGAAACAACACTACCATCACTTGCTCTCTTGCTCATGTTGAATAGGGATGCAAAAATGCTGTAAGAAACCTGAGAAAGTTTTTCTCCAGTTCCTGTTCCAGATGCGTGAAAACAAAAGGCCCGTCAAGCTCCGACTGTTGTTTACCACTCATTTGCAAGGCAGCTTCTTTGCGCAAGGCGCTCTTCATTGTTTTTTTACAGTAATTTTTTTTATATAATGCATATTGGTTTTTAGTTATTATTTATATATTAATGTAATTTAATTTTACCGTTATTATATTTTGGTCGTAAATACGAATGAAATAAGGATGCAAATTGAATTGGATCCTAAATTAACTAGGGTTTTAAATATGAAAAGTTGTTGGTCGAACCGTTGTTATCGGAGGCTTTACTGTACTGTTATTATTAACCAAGATATGAGGATTTGAAAATTCACACGGCAACCATTTTGAAAAATGGCCGCCTTGGCCGATGCAGGTCAAATCTGGTTGGGGTCCAGTTTTTAAATTAACTGTTATGGGCCATAGTGACTGTGTTGTCAAATGTCTACTGTACTTGTATCACAAAGTGCATGATTCGGCTCCATATGGGGATTAAGTCTCCAGACTATATCTCTTGTCAATACCATAAAGTGCCACATTTACTCAACTTCCTATCACAGTAGCACTGATGAGGAATTAAATATTCAGACCCAAGTCAGTGACCAGAGGCAGTTTAGAATAAAACAAGATTGAAAGCCTTACATCACTTAAGTCTTGCAGAATGCTTGACCAAAATCCATAATTTACAAGCACTGCACCATATATACAGTTTTACCTGGATTAGGATTTTTAAAAACTAAATAATCACAAAACACAAATAAACATGAGTTTGTTTGTTTGTTTGTGAGTATTGAGATTAGTTTTGGCCAAGCTGAACTAATACTTGTGACAATTACGATTTCTTTTCAAAGAAACAGTTCCAACAGACTATTTTTTCCCATTACTTGTGGTAAAAAAAAAGAATAGACTTTTGGAAGCAGCTATGAGATGATATTAATTTACAATACTGAAATTTACTTTAACAGCATCATCTAGTTCAGGGATGTGGAACCTTTTTCAGCTGAGGGAGACTTAGAAAATCTCAACATACCTGGTACAGTATGTGTAGCGAGGGTTGGAAGTAATGCAGCATGTGATCAATTCTACCCAATTTCATGCAACATACAGAGACAGGCACTAAAATGGCATTTGGTAGACCAGAGAAAGCGGACTCGAGGGGATGTGGGCACAGACTGTTGGGTTGCACATCAGGGATCTAGTTCACTGTATGTAAGACAATGTACAGAGCATCATTAATTTGGGTGATGAGAATAATCTTTATGTTGAGAAAGTATTGGACAACTACAAATATTGAACTTATCAATTGTAATCTTCAGTCAATGCTCAAGTAATTCATTTTGGCACAAGTTGATATAATGTATATAAAAAATAGACTTTAATGAACACTGGTAAACAGGACTAATAAACAAATAAAAAAGTTTATGAAAAGCTTGATTGTTGCTGGACACATAATGAATGAACTGATGAATTTTCTATTTAAAATGCAAATCTGACAGCCAAGAGCAATAGTAACCTAAACACACATGATGACAGGTAATGCTCATACAGCTGCACATTGCCATTAGATTCAAGGGTTTATGTTTTGCTTCTGTTACTGGAAACTTCATTTATCAGAAACAATAATAACTCTAAACATACACAGTAAACCCCCGCTTTACGAGGTTTCACTTTACGCGTTTCCACGTTTACGCGGTACCCTGCCGAAACCGGAATGCTCACTTTCCGCGGTGTGTGTACCCTTTTACGCAGAGAGCGGCGCGAGCAGGGTGCGCACAAGGTCGCCCAGTCATCAAAACATTACCGAGTTCTTCACCCGCCACCCACCACAGCCGGCCCAAGTCAGTGATAATGATAGTGAGGATATGGACTTATATGGACTTTGAGGGGTTTGACAAAGAGGCCCTGCAAACCTCTGTGGTGGATAGTGATACAATTGATATAGGTGAGGGCCAATAATCTGCCGTCTGCCTCGGAACCAACCCTCCATCCCTGTGTGCCCAGCCATCTTTTCTACTAATGTAAGTGTTAAAAAACCTAATATTATTGATATTTCTCTTAATTATTAATTGTGTGTGCATACCATCATAAAATTAAGAAGTTATTTTTACTACAACGTAGGTATTGTGTCTGAAAAAGTGGAGTTTGGGGGTCGGCCCGGTCTCTATTTCAATTAATCCCATATGTTATGTTGTTCACTTTACGCGGGCCGCCGTGGGTTCAACTGACCGCGTAAAGTGAGGGTTCACTGAATATATATATATATATATATATATATATATATATATATATATATATATATATATATATATATATATATATATATATATATATATATATATATATATATATATATACAATTACATATATATATATATATATATATATATATATATATATATATATATATATATATATATATATATATATATATATATATATATATATATATATTTATATATATATAACAAAAATAAATAAAGCTGCAGTATCACCACCTCACACCTGCTGCTCAGCTACGTAGAGCTTCCAGACGATTTCTCATCTCCTCCATGTCTTCCTCTGGCTCTTCTTCTGGAGCGAGGGCAGCTGCTCCTTCAGGCTCTGCTGGCAGTGCATCACTCACCATGGCTGGTGTCTTGCCCAGTTGGCCAGCTGTGATCTCCCACAACACCTGCACAACATTATCATGATGACATTTATAACTTTTGATCAGGGACTTAAAAACTAAAGAGAAGTAAGTGTAAATGGAAAATTTGTAGGTGATTATTGTACAATATTAATAAAGGATTCAGGGGAATACCTTCTGAAGGTGGGAGGGACAGACAAAATAATTAAAAACTACATCTGTTTATTAGCTTCACTTGTCACCCATTGTGTGTGGGACTTATCACAGAGCTAGGGTACACATACTGTATGCAATTTTCTTAATTTTTTTTTGTTTTACCATTACATGCACACACAATCTTTCATACAGAATGTGCAAAATATATATATATATATATATATATATATATATAATAAATAAATTCCAATAATGATTATAATCAGGTAAAAAACAAAAGGGAATAAATATTTCTTGTCCCCAGGAATCGTGGAAGGGGCTGCAATGTCGGTATCTCAGTCTCCAGACAAGCTGTGAGCTGCATTATTGTTATTTTTCAATTTTTATTTTCGGGAAGACACGGAGCAGTAATGTACTGTATATGTAATTTTTTCTATTTTTTTTTCTTTGTTACATGCACACATAATCGTTCATACAGAATGTGCATTTTTTTTGGTAAATAAATAAAAATTAATTATAAAATAAAAAACACAAAGGGATTAAACACGTATTATGTGTAAGGGAGCTAGCATAAGGGAGGGATGGAGCAGCATTCTCTTACTGTCTCTAGTGATGAGATTGCCACATGACAACATGGTAGCTTTTCTTTTCTTTATTTATTATTATTATTTGTATTTATTCCTCACATTTATTAGTACAGTATATATTAGTTCACGTACAAATAATAGCCTCTTCCACACGCAAACCATCCTCTGGGCGACGCGATGCATTCAACTGCTTAGCCTGGCAAATCACCAGGGACGGGCAGAACCTCACACGCATCCCGCGTGGGTCGCACGTGTTACTCCCTCCCATAAGTTAAACAGTATTTTGTTAATTTTTTTCATGTGTTGGGTAGTAAATTAGAGTACAGTAGTTTTGTGCTGTTCATCATTAGTTAGGAAGGTTTTATTTGTCTTTGTGAACTGAGTTTGTGTTTCTGGGGTATGATATTGGGGAACCCAAGCTAAATTTTCCTTTATGTTCTTTTATTCGAGATATAAAAATTAAACCTAACTCATTCGTATATCGAGGGATACCTGTAGAAGTATCGATACATATTTGCTCATATTCTCAAAATGTGTGAAAATAATTTACAGTAAAGTTTTATTCAAATCCTTATACAGTATTACAAATTGGTGACTATCTGACATTACAAATAGATCTACCAGAGAACTGACCCCCAGAAAGGATATTCAAGAAAAGGCTTTTGCACCACTCAGTTGGGTACACCTTATGCACAACAACACTTCAGCCTTGACAACCAACCTTTCAGGAATATGCACCACATTTTCGAAACAAGAAAGCTCCAGTTTGAAATAGAACTTGCCTGAATATTTACCATGAGGGGAAAAGACCAGGGAAAGCCCTGTTCTTAAGATAAGACTACTGAAGCAATGGTGTCAAAAAAGGACATAAGATTCTTCCCTAAAAGAAACTCTTTTTGTTAAAGAAATAAAGAGGAACCAACAGTTTCTCCAATTTAATGTGAAGGTGTTGTGAGGGGGGACCACTTAACATTGAGTAGTTTTGTCAGAGGAATGGAAACCCCAACTGAGACTGGATGCATCCAGACCACAAATTATTGGCATTGCAGTGCATTGGCTGTTGATGTTTGTATCATAATTTTACTGACCTTGTCAACCTCCTCCTGGGCCTCCTCCTCCATCTCCTCAGGCTCGAGGCTCTCCATGGTGTCTTCCAGCATCTCCTCGATGATGCCAGCCTTCATCATTTCTCGGCTCATCTCCTGCATTGTCTTGCTGATCTCGGGCAACTTGACCAACTCCTGCATGGCCTTCAGCACCTCCGTTGACTGCTGCAGAGAGCCCGCAACACGGAGAGTAGCTGTTGGATGTAAATAGAATTACAACTACCGGGAATAGTGACTTGGCCAATATGGTGACCCTGATCTTGACTTTGGCCTCAGTCCAACAGCAAAACAATGGGTGAGGAATTTTTTTCTGACTTGCCACCATGTACAGGTTTAAGTGAGATTACTGAAAAGGTATCATGAGCTTTCCAGTGGAGATAACAGCAGGGTGGTGGAATGGGGGTACTCCGAGATGATACAGTACACAGGTGGTTATGGTGGTAATAAAGCAGTGTAATGAGTTAGAGGGGGACAGCCTATAATAGGTGGGGGGCAGAGTATCATACTAAGGAGAGACTGAAGGAGTGAATACTGTATGGGGAACAGTGAGAATAGTAGTGGCAAGGTGGGCTAAGGGCTCCTCTGTTATGGTTAACCCTTCAGACGGAAGTCTCCTGGAGACTGAGATATTGTACATAATATGTAATGATGTTTACAGTGAGCTCCACACATAATGGCATAAAGAAGTACCAGAAGAACAATTTCAGTACTGGATAGGTATTCCCTGATTCATGATGGGGTTATGTTCCTGAAAAACCCATCACAGGTTGAAATATCGTATAGATAAATCAGGATCATTATAACATGGTTTCAATGGGATACAATCTCAGCCAGTCTGACAGTCACATGTATAAAAAAAATAAAAATAAATAAATATACAATGCCCCCTCGCTTAATATTGGTTTGTTCAATGTGGATATGCTCAAGCACAGTTTGTTTTATCACTACCTGGTATCATTTAAGATAGGGCTAAGAGTTACTCAAACGTGGGTTGAGCTGGGCTTAACATGGGAAAATCTTGCAGAATCTTGCATGGGCCAGCAGTCGAGTCCACTACAGTTCATGTTTAGCGTCCCCACCCCACATGGGCTCAGAGTTTAGCCAGTGCTCGGTTCAACCACAATCAAAAACTTCACTTGGATTAACTTCAGTATAGTATTTTTGCTTTCTTTCATCACCACAGCTCCACCTAAACATTCTCTAAAAATCCCTCTGCCAAGGGACTCCAGCAAGGAAGAGTAGGATCATAATTTACCCTAGATCAGGGGTGGCGAACCTTTTTGAGAGCGTGTGCCCAAATTGGCGATAATATTCTGAAAAATTATCTCGTGTGCCCGTGGGAATTTTGAGCAGGAGAATATTATTACAGTGGTCCCTCGGTTAACGAATTACCTTTCATAAGAATCTTCAATTCGGTTAACGAAAAAAAATTTGGTTAACGAAATTCTTACGAAAACATGTCAACATGTTTTGGCTTGCTCACCAGCTGGAAGATTAGTCCTCCAATACAGTAATCGGTTCTAGGGCTTATATTCGTTTCCATTGGAGTAAATATCAAGAAGGTTGTGTTATTCAATATTTATCCAAGTTTTAATTTAAAATTATTAGTCGTTTCAACACTTATTTAACATATTTGCAGTACAGGGAACAAGTTTTTGGTGCGCCCATCAGCCACTTCACTCACCCACCAAGGCGTCAGTTTGTGTCTCTGTTCAGTGGAGGAAACATCTTGCTTGTGGGTCTCTTGAACACAGAGTATTTTTATGTTTTTACAGTACAATTATTGGTCATTCTGAAATTTATTTAACATATTGACAATATATAGTGCAGTGCAGTGTTGATTAAAAGAAAATAATCTTGAATTACACCTAGTGAACTTAAAATTTTATTGGTGAAATGACGGCATCAAGCATGGGGTGATTTCTCTTCCATCCCCACTTCCTTCTCTTCTCCCTTCTCCTCCACCCCCATTCTAATTCCCATCATCATCATCATTATCCAGGAGCCTTCTACATACACACCTCAAAGTAAGTGTACTTTAATACCTTTTTTGTTGATTTTAGGTAATTTTCGGTGAGCTGGAACCAATTACCCCCAAAACCCATTGAAACAATGGTTTCGGTTAACGAGTTTTTCGGTTAACGAGCAACCTTCTGGAACGAATTGTGCTCGTTAACCGAGGGAACACTGTACACCAAATTCACCTCGCTCAGTAAATTTTGAAATTGTCTTTTTTTCAAAGCACGCGCAGAAATAAAATTTTACCGCCACACCACCCCGTTAAGTACTGTACATGCTTTTCAGATGGTTTATGTTATAAGGTTTCCCAAAATGTTTAGGTTTGCTAATCTCCCAAAATTTCCAACAAATAGTTAAATGGTAAGATAGTGAACCTGACTATTGGTATCCCAGCGACATTCATCCAGGGGAGTTAAATTATGTCAAGTTTGCATTAGGGTGTTTAATGATCAGGTGAAATAGGCTGGGGTGTCTGATACTTTAGGTGATCCCTCAGTTGTAACAAAGATACAGCAGTTTAAGTTCAGCTTTTTCAGTTAATTGGAAAAAAAATCATTCACCAGGTGCCATAACTTGACAGTGGTTAAATACATTGTATATTTACCCTCAATCAACTTACAGCTTGTATACAAAACCCCACACACAACTGTTCACTTATCAAGTAGCTACCCAAGAACCCAAAGTAACTTCTTAAAACACCCAAAGAAATCAACACCCTGTTTTAACTTTTAACCATCGCATAAGTGAAGTACTGTACTGTTACACCAACTGCTGCTTTTTTTCCCTCTTCCAAGACCTCTGCCACTACAGTACTGTACACAATGGGTGGATGTAGGAGCAACAAACTCCTTTCACCTGCTGACTCAGAGTGATACATGAAGTGATACAAGTACAGTTGCACCTCAATATTCGGTCTACTCTGTGATTTTCAGGAATGTAACACTATCATAAATCAAGGAATCCCCCTATACCAGAGGGACAACTTGTGGATGAGGAACACTATACAGTAAAACACAACACATCTGGAAAGGCAACTCAAATGTGAGATAGTGCATGTAATACCCTTGACTCTGGCTCCCTCTACCATGGTGGGAAAGCATTCGCATGAAAAAAAAAAAAAAGTTATAATAAATTTTCCTGACAAAATTTTACATTTCTGAGTGTGAATCCCGTGGATCTTTGGCATTCAAAAGCTGGATTACATGAAATAAGCCATCCCAGCTTATTTCACCAAATGATTAAACACCTTACTGCTACCTGGGGTAGGTTAGGTTAGCATTTGAGGTTAATCTTAAAAGTGAAATAAACTGGGGGATTAATATTCATGTGACCCCAAATTTTTTACAGAACCAACACAAGGCTGAATATGGCCTTGATTACACTTACCTAACTGTGCCTTCATCTGTGACTGTACAGAGTTGAGATGAGCCTTGCTCGTGTAAATCCGAGTAACAGCTTTTCGTGACTGTATAATTTCCTTGGCAAGCATCCGGCATACATCTTTATCACCTTTTTTAGCAGCTTCCTTCATTGAGCGTTTAACTTTTTCTTCCTCACGCTGGATGGCTGCAAAATAAAAATATGACTCGGTATTATATAACAGAATGATGGGCTCAGTTGGTGAACCATATGACTCATAATAGAGAGATGTACAGTAATGTTTGTCCTTGTCAGGCAGAGAGACTGGAGGAGTGTTGTTAATAGGACCCAGATGTTCGGGCAAAATGTTTTAAATGCAGTAGGATCTCGTGTTTCGTGACTAATTGGTACCGGGTTTAGCATAGATTAGGTTAAAATCGCGAAACGAGTGACACTGAAATACATATACAGTAAATAAGCCAAACCCCCCTACAGCCCACCAAGAAAATGGCATTACTGTAATGTATTCATACACATTGTACATTTTGTTGATAACAATATTTTTATACTGTAGAATAATAACTTCCCTTGAGGGGCTGGTTGATGGGTTCTGAGGCAGGTTACTGCTTCCTCCTCTAACCTCAGCATCAAAGTCTTGAGGCAGCTCTTCCACCAGTAAGTCACCCAACACTTTAATATCATCATCGGTGGTGCCATCATCATCATCTCCTAAAGCGATGTTTGCCAAGGCATTAACAGGCTGGGCCTTGCACTCGGGTACCGAGTAATAAGGACCTGCTGACGACCATTAACACGGGACATGTACAAGGCCATATATTCCTTCATACCCTTATCAAGGGCAGAGTACACAAGGTTCCGAGGATGAGGCCTGGCATTGTATTCTTCTAGCTGTTCACTGAGACGTGCGATGGTTGTGAGCACCTCAGTCAGCTGGCGTGTTGCAGGTTCATGAGGCTTAACATCATCCTCTTGTGTTGGTTGCTGTTCTTATTGTTCTTCATCCTCCTCCAACATTTCTTCAATTTTCGGTTGCTGCTGATGTTGACCAATGATTTCTTGCAAATCTTCAACCTGAACATCTGAAAGTCCCGGTGCTGGGACTGAGCGCACTGCCTCTACTGTGTTCATTAGTGTTGCTGCCACTACTGCCTCTCTCTGCTTGCCATAGTCTGTTCTGCCCCACTTATCTCGGAGTTAGTGAACAAAGTTCACGAAGTTCCCAAGCGTTTTCGTGTAATTCACATCTTCAGGGTGAGTACAGACTAAGGAGTAATACTTGACAAGGCTAATATATACAGTAGAGGAAAGTGAGATCAAGTCCCTAGGGAACAGCAGGTGTCCACAATGTTCCGGTCATAAGGCAGTGACCCTTACTAATCTTCTTAATCAAAAATTGACTCTGCCATCTCTAAGCACAGCAGCTGTCCATAGTCAGGTCAGAGGGTAAGATGACCCAACCTTCTCACCTGGTTACAAACCTACTTCCTCACAAAATTATCCAGTTTGTACATACCATTACTCAAATTCATGTTGACAGATTCGGTATGTTTAATGAGACTGGATTCTATAATGTACCTACTGACAATTGAATTACAAGGTAGTATTGAGGAGGCATAAGCCCAGTCAATGCAATGCTTATTATCTCTCATATGAATGAACAGAGCATTGGATTCCTGGCCTGTCCTAACACTATATTTATGTTGTTTAAGTCTAGTTATAAGATCTTTACCTGTCTGGCCTAAGTAAAACATATTACATTCCTTGCAAGGAACCTTGTAAATGCAGCCACCTGCATTGTTGGGGGAGTTCTTAATTAACATTTGTTTAACAGTGCATGAGTTTTTAAATGCCACATTGACATTCCAGGTTTTTAGTTGTAAAGGAATTTGAGAAAAATTTTTGTTAAATGGTAATACTAAGAGATTCTTATGGTCATGGGTGGGCTTGGGATCGGTTCTATAAAAAGATTTCTTAGTAATGTTAAGGCATTTGTCTATGAAAGACCTCGGGTACTTGAGGTTCAAGCCAATATTATAGATTTTACTTATTTATTTATTTTTTTATTCATTTATTTATTTTTTATTCTTTTTTTTTTTACGGGAATTAGCCCACCCTGACACAGGTCAAACCTGGGGGGTGAAAAAAAAAGAACAGAAAGAAATTGAAAATAGAGAAGAAAAAGGTTATACTGTACTGTGTTAATCTACACCACGAAGATGCTGGAAAACCAGCTTTTTAAAGTGAGACAGATTGTATAAGTATAGAAACACATAAGAAGGCAGAGCATTCCACAGTTTGGCTGTGTGAGGAAAGAAGGAGGTACTATAACAGGTTATTCTTATGTGACCGACATCCACAGAGAAACGGTGGGCACCGCGGGCAAGACGTGTATTATGAGCCCACGGCCTTGCCGGCGGTACACAGGATGCCAAATCCACTGAACATTGCCCGTTAAAGTACCTGTAAAAGAGAGAGAGTGAAGCAACATTGCGGCGAAGAGAAAGGGAAGAGAGGTTGTTGACTAAAGGACTAGAGTTAATAAGACGAAATGCCTTTGATTCCACCCTATCCAATAGTTGGGCAGAAGAAGAGCCACCCCAGATATGAGAGCAGTACTCCAAGTTAGGTCGAATGAATCCCTTATATACTCCTGAGCAACTGCTCAGGAGTGAAGTAGCTACAGCATCTGTACAGCATTCCCAACTTTCGGGAGGCAGCTTTAGCTATATTAACGATGTGTGATTTCCAGGACATATTGGAGGAAATGGTGAGGCCTAACATATTTATTTCAGAATTTGGCAGGATGATAGCGTCCTGGAATGTAATTGGTGGGAGATCGTCTAATTTACAAAGTGTAATTGGTAAATATTGAGTTTTATTACTATTGAACTTAACCAAGTTTGTATCTCCCCATTCAGAGATGCTGCACAGATCCATATTGATAGAAGTAATGATATCAGTTCTAGAAACAGATCTAGTTTGAGAGTTAGGAGGAAGGGGAAAATGTGAAGAAGAGTGAAGAGTAGAATCATCAGCGTAAGAATGGATAGAATTAGTTGTAGTGTGAAGTAAACCATTGATAAAAAGAAGGAAGAGAGTAGGTGAAACAACAGAACCCTGTGGGACACCACTACTGGTAGAGAAAGAGCGAGAGGTCGATCCTTCGACAACAACTGCCATGGATCGGTTCTCAAGGAAGCTAGAGATGAGAAAACAAAGCGGGGGAGAACCAGGGAAAACACAAACATGTTGACTAAGTTGGGTTTCTTTAATTACTAACGTTTTGAAAATTATTTTTTGGAATGTGTGTGTGTGTGTGTGTGTGTGTGTGTGTGTGTGTGTGTGTGTGTGTGTGTGTGTGTGTGTGCTATAATTAAGGACCAACTGCAAAAGAAAAATTGTCGAATTTTTTCCCAAAAGCCGCAGGAATAATGTTGGGTATTTTCATTGCCTGTGTAAGGCTCAGCAACGTCGAGGGGTTGGTAACACTGGGTTGGAGATTCTTCAAGTGATCCCATAGAAATATATACTGTACAAGTCAAACTTTCCACAGGTAGTATACCTAGATATAACAGGGGTTTAGATTCAAGGGTAGTAGTGTTACACATCTGTTTTTCAATGGGCGTAGAGTATAAGATTAAATGAATCAGGTATATTTTTGCTCACCTCTAATCTGGCGGTCCAAGCCATAACCCTCCTTCCTTATTCGGCCGCACCACTCATTCACCTGCCAACGATAACAGTCACCTTTAGATATCAAGTTTAAAGCTCACAGATGCAGTGGTAATTCCTCTATGAGACAAACAAGTGAAAAGTTTGAAAGACAAAACTTTTTTATAATTAGTCAGAATGACCCAAAGCATTTGCCCCATGCAAAAAGTTACATATACAGAAAATCATTGCCATTTATATAGTAAATAGTATAAAGAACTACAGTACTATACTAAGTTTGTATTGGTACTCACGGATGGGCGGAGGTGGTAGAGTGAGTGTGTGGTGGGTAGTGGAGCAGAGGAGGCGGATGGCGGGAGGGGAGGAATATGGCGGGAGGGGAGGAGTATGGCGGGAGCGGAGGAGGGCGGGAGAGGAAGAGGGCGGGAGAGGAGGAAGGTGGTGGGTCACTGAGAATCTTCACCAAGCCAAGAGAGAATAGCGCGGCTAGACGAGAGCGGGTGATACACCGTAAAATGTAGTCTGTGGCGACGCAAAATGACGTAGTATCAGATCACCGGGACGTTAAACGAAATTATGGTCTCTAAAGTTTAGTGATGTAGTACTGACACAACGTTAAGCGGGACGACATTAGGCGAGGACTTACTTCTATATGTTTGCACAAAATTTAATATGACTGTATAATTCACCGGCAATGAGTGTTGAGAATGAACCGCATGGCACAGTGTTATAACCTAACCTAACTTATCCTATAACCTGCCTTAACCATTAACAACACAGCTGCCGTACCTGTATCCACTACGTTTTGAATAATCTAAGTCTTCTCTCACTTCGACAACACACGATTCTAAAATATTTTAATTAAAAATTTAAGTAATTATAAAGGACTAACCCGAGAGCAAAATTGATTGAAAACAATTTTAAAAACGCCGGATTTTCACTGTTATATTATAGAGGACGTTGTGGTAGTTTGTAGAAATATGTTAAAAAATTGATATTTTTAAAATAAACGCAACTTAACATTTGTGGGTATGAAGAACAGACCTAACCTAACTAACTTCCCTGGTATATCAAACAGATGAGTACTCACTATGGTATGGTGAAATTTGATAAATTTTCTGGACGTGAGAAGATATGGCCGCACCGGCGCTATGCAGCCCTAGCGGGTTAGTCCTATATGTTAACCAAAATTAACAAGAAGTTGTCAAGGCTGCCACTTACAACAAACACAACTCACCACTCGTCTGCCAGTACACACACACGTCAGCTTACCATCACCTGAACACTAAACCTTCCGTGTTCACCTACCTGATCCTTAGGGCTTTTTGACGGAGATTTAGAAAATAAACCCATATTTTCCGGTTGTTTTTGGTGAACGGCTCAACACAAGTGACTGACTCAACCACAGTGTTCGAGTGTGTGGAAGGAGTTGTCATACTATAAGAAGATCGAACACATATTATTATATCTATAAGATAAAAGTCTCCATTTTAGTTTGAACGTTATTATTATATTATTATATTTACAATGAAATTACCAGAAGTTCGTATTTTGTATTTAAATGGTGACTGAATAATTCCTTAATACAAGAGTTCGGACACAAGAACTTAGCTGTCAACAAACATGAAAACATTTTTATAATTTTATGAAAAACAATTAACTTGCCTTCTTACTAAATAAATCTCATTTTAAAAATAATAAATAATACAGTTTATACACAAAAAATGTATATTACTTATACTACAAATATGGATAACATTGTAAAGAGTTGATGCCTGTAACACATTACCATGATATGTTACTAAAGCTGTTAGATATAAACACACACACAGTTAAAACTATCACAATTTAAGGTAACAATAAGATAAATTCGTTTAGTTCATGGCTGAAGTCCTCGGGACATTATGAGAAGGTGAATCAAGTAACTAAATTATTAGGTCTTATAAGAAGGTCGTTCAGATATCTAGACGATCCGTCCCTCGGAACGATCTTCAGGAGTGAGGTGCTTCCCCGCCTGGAGTACTGTCACCCTGCCTGGTCCTCGAGATATGCTAGGGACTGTCAGTTGATTGAAAACGCCCAAAGGAGGGCTATCAGGCTGGTGCCTGCACTTCGGCACCTCAACGACCCTGGGAGATGAGAGAGCCTGCAATTGCCTAAGACAGACTAGCTTACACTACAGACGGACAAGGGGGGTCCTAATTGAGGTGTATACACATCTCAAAGGGCACTACTCGGTCGAATGTCCATAGATGATATATTTTTTAGATTGCCCACGAGGGGGCTAGTTTATTGGGCACCCCCTTACATCCTGTGCAAGGTGAAGCATAGAAGCGTTTACAGCGCCCATCGGGGAAGCATGCGGAGTTCATGCTTACCGTTATGACTCATGCATTAAGGGCGTAAAAGCCTGAAGGGTCATGGGTTTTGTCAGCAAGTTACATAAAGTGACAGAATGATGAGTGTGTGGGGGGAAATTCTCGGTACAATTTATCTGTTTATGGCAAAGTGTGGCAGGTCCCTAGTGCCAGGCCTGTCACTAGGAGGAGGGATATCTGGTCAGGGAGGGAAGAGGTGTTGGTAACGGCTGGGGACCTGTAGGAGGAGGTCATAGTGTACTGTGCACATCATTGTCATTCCTAAAAAAAACCTTTAATTCATATTACGCTACATAACATTCAAATCCACCTCGCTCGTAGAATCTCAGAGAACGGAGGTCATTGGTAAAGACTAACTCACCTAATGAATGTTACGGAATCATGTGTTGTATTGCACCCAGGTACGGTTATATAATATTAATTGTATGTATTCATAGCATTAAGGAGAGACGTGTTTTTCCCATTCGTTTCACACTCAGGATCCCTCCCAGTAAGTCCCGCCTTCGAACACAGTTGTCAATACGTTTATTCCACTCTCTACTGGCAAACTCATTCTTGAATTAGTCTGGGTAAATCAACTTTAGTTCGGGCTAGGTATGACGGTGTTATCAAGATTTCATTAGCGAGGTATGGAGCCTAGCTATGTTGTTCATTGTCTCGCATGGCCGCCACAACCACATTTAAGCAGTAGGCCCCAGACCATGTATTTGTTAAGACCTCCTGCTCCGTAGACCTAAGAAACGAGATGTTTACGTGGTTCTACCGCGACGTCTTCTTACTTCCAGCAGAGCTGAACCTCGGTCTGTCAATGATATGAGATTGTGTGTACAAACTCCCAAGACTTTTGTTAAATATAATTGTATAAGTTAATAATTCCCGGGGAGGGGGAAGTATAACTAGAGAAGGCCTGTTTGCTACAAGAGTAATCCGGGCCAGCCTAGTAAACCTAAGGGGTTATTTCCCCATGTTGACACACTCCCTCTTTGAAAAATGACTTACTGTATATAGTGATGTGAATGTGGTGTGACTCATACAGTATGTTCATACAAATTGTAAATCAATGTATGGAACCTTGCCAAATACAGGTAAATGCAAGTGCAATTATCTGCCCATATCTGTAATCCTTATCTTATTGATTACCAAAGGTAATGACTGATTGGTTATGACACAAAATAACCAATAACTGAGATGGATGTTGAAATTAATGGAACCCATTAAATCATCATTTATCAAGTATACAACACACTAAAAGCCGGGAAGTGGAACGGAATTCTACGTAGTGATACACCACACCACTACCAGTGTTGACGGTTTGATAACTCTACGGTCAGAAATATGCGTTGCCATAAATCCCGTGACATACTAATACTATTCCCGTGTGTCCTGTTACTACTACTACTACTACTACTACTACTACTGCTACTAGTTACTACTTCTACTACTGCCGAACTAGTAAAAAAAATATATATACAGTATTACACAAGGAAAGAATGTAACATAACATAATACCATGAGGAGCCGACAACTTGTGGAGAACATTTGGGTTAATACATCCTTCAAGTGTTGCTGACGTCAAGGCTGAAGCTGCAAGTGAATGAAAGTCCGGCGTAGCGAGTGATGAGCCGCCACCACCTTCGTCATTTAGGTCCTAAAAAAACCTTACTGCAAGTCTACGACTTACGTCACAGAATAATAAGACAAGTTAGGGTTATATTTATCCTATCCGGTTGGGTAGTTCAGCGAGTTTCAGTGATCATTTGTTTATTTGACGACGGCCTGCAGCTGGGCGCGCGGAGGACCCCAGTCAGGCAGGGTTCATTTTTAGACGAGTGAAACAAACGCTGACATCCTTAAACTACTCTTCATACCTAAAACACCCATAATGATAATATATTTATTTATTTTAGTGATCATATAAGTTAAAATAACTATGTTTTTAGGTTATTAAAGTCCACATCGGAGTTTCCTGAACTGTTTACTATAATGATGAGTTAATGGGAACGTGTGTGAAGATTTTATTTTACTGAATTAATATCTATCTACAGTATTTACATATCTCTTTAATTATTTGTTCATCTATCTATCTATTTCCCCAAGAGTGAGTAAAGAGCGCTGGGTTATAATAAATAGACCTTCATTGTGGTCCCACTTCAAACATTTGCCTAAGATATTGATTTACTCTCCATATTAATATTAATTTTCTTTTATTTCAGATTATAAAGTAGTGTTGTAAGATGGTGGAGAGGACACATGGGGAGAGTAAAACGATCTTGGAGCTGTATTTCAAGTCCGGGTCATTTTCATATATTCACTGACGGAAACGAACCACCATGTCTTACATAAATTCCCTTGAAGTTTCACGTAAATATTAAATACGCCTTGGTCTTATCTGGTAAACAGTTGATTTAAGGTACAGTTGCCCACAGTTCCGCTTGTTACAGTGGTGGACACATTTTGTGAGATGTAGCAGCTGTGTTTATTTACACCATAGTAAAACTTCCGGAATGGCCCTAAGGAACCTCGCAGAAGTATTTAATTACTGTCTCTGAATCCAAACATTTCTTGCGTGGATATAGTTTGAATACAGGTTATACAATAGAACATCACTGGATCTTATCTGCTAGAGCTAGACCAAAATCGAAGAGGAGCCAAAATTTTAAAATCTGGCAGAAAAGCTTCAGGAACGTCTCTACCAAGCAGCCCCTCACCACACGGCACCTCCAGCACCAGACTGTCTATCATATAACTTATATTATACAAGAAAACCACATTAGAGTTTCCTTCCATCCTGAGTGCTAGACAACATTAATATCTCGATACCCCTACAGTACTATATAGAAACATACAGTTCAATTAGACTCCAGTACAGTACAGTACAGTACAATATCCCCAAACCACTGTACAGTATGTCCCTATCGTAGTCGGTGTACCATCACTGGCAACAGAAATGATGTGGCCTTCATAATTCACATACCTGTCGAGAAGGGCTACTTGTGCAGAGTCATCACAAGATTCGTCACATGAAATAGAAAAGTCCTGGGTTGAAGTGATGTCCTTAATTTAACTATTGGTGATGTGTTTGGACAGTTTTAATGTGTAGACAAAAGCACGTTCTTGGTTGTCTTAACTCTTTCTTTTTGCTATTGAAATCACTGAACAGGTGCTCCGATGTTTTAATAAAACAATGCTTCATGTATTCACTATATGTGAAAGGCTTCCCTTGTTTTAATATATTTTGGTTTCTCACAAAACTGGTTGCAGTTGTGTTAGTTGATGATTTCACCCATTTCGTGAATATGTCTGACTTTGCTCTGCTTTGTGTTTCACTTCTTCCACAGCTTTCTTCCTGGCGTCTCCAGTTGGATACAGTACTTCACAGTGAAGGCACTGTGCTTCCTGTGAATATGGCTTTCGAGATTAGAAATTTTGTTGTTGGAACAATTCCTCATTATAATTACGACACGAAGGAAGCACTTTAGAGCTTTGTATGAATGTAAAACAATTTGTCCAATCATTGTTTTTAATTTTCTTTATTCAGCCTCACCACCAGCCAGGGCTACACAAAACAACCTCACCACCAGCCAGGGCTACACAAAACAACCTCACCACCAGCCAGGGCTACACATAACAACCTCACCACCAGCCAGGGCTACACATAACAACCTCACCAACAGCCAGGGCTCACCACCAGCCAGGGCTACACAACCTCACCACCAGCCAGGGCTCTCACCACCAGCCAGGGCTACACAAAACAGCCTCACCACCAGCCAGGGCTACACAAACAGCCTCACCACCAGCCAGGGCTACACATAACAACCTCACCAACAGCCAGGGCTACACAAACAACCTCACCAACAGCCAGGGCTACACAAACAGCCTCACCACCAGCCAGGGCTACACAAACAGCCTCACCACCAGCCAGGGCCAGGGCTACACAAAACAGCCTCACCACCAGCCAGGGCTACACAAAAACCCCACCACCAGCCAGGGCTACACATAACAACCTCACCACCAGCCAGGGCTACACATACCAGCCAGGGCTACACAAAACAGCCTC